TTCGAGCTTGCACAATCATTAGTGTAGAGGGTGAAAAGAACAGGAGATATTACACAGCCTTGTGGGCACCAGTGTGGTTGTCCATTTACTCGATACAGCCCCGTTAACTCTCACTTACTGCTGTCTGTCCACAAGAAAGTTTTCGATCCACTTGATGAGGTATGAGTTAACGCCCATGTCTAACAGTTTCTGTATCATGATATGTGTCTGGATGGTGTTGAACGCAGATGAAAAGTCAACGAAGAGGATCCTGATGTATGACTTAGGTGTCTCTAGATGTGTATAGACATTATTAAGGAGTGACAATGTGGCATCAACAACTCCTCTCCTTGACTTGTACGCGAACTGAAGCGGGTCCAGTATGTCGGCAACTTCCTGTCGGAGATATCCCAACAAAATGCGTTCCAGCGACTTCATTGCTATAGATGTGAGAGCAGCTGGCCTGTAGTCGTTGAGTTCTTTAGGTTGTGTCTTTTTAGGAACTGGTACAATTTCTGATGTTTTCCGGACCGATGGAATACCGTGTGTATTCACTGAGAATTGAAACAATCTAATGAAAACTGCACACAGCTGAAGTCTGCACTCCTTCAACACAATGCCGTCAAGGTTGTCTTTTTGCTTTTCTGATGTTAATTCTGGAGAAGCTTTGAATGACGTCAGCTTCTGATGTATGGATACGACTTTCACTATCCTGTACAGCTTCACTAACTTGAGCTCTCTCATTGGTAAAATCGTGACAATCAAAGCGGCTGTAGAAAGTGTTGAGGTCCTCAGCAAAGGCCTTATTGTCCCCGGCGTTGGTTGTCTGACGACGACACCACTTTTCATTTATATACATACATACACCTCCTCCAATAGATTTATTTCCCTGTAGCATCTGAATCTCTGTCTAGAGGAACTGGAGTACCAAATCCTTCCAAATAGAGGGTGTTACTGTCCACGGAGGGTGATAGCCATGTCTCCGTGAAACAGAGAATGCAACTGTCTCGGAATTCATACAAATATTTAGTTGCTGCCGAAAGTTCGTCCAGTTACGGTTCCTCAAAACTTACTGACTTGTGTAAATATAAAAACAATGGAAGCTCTGTTGATGTCTGTCGCCAGCAGAGCAGCGCCATCTATCATATCAAAACCTCCTGGTTTGCAGTGAATCGTGGACTAAAACAAGGATGCCCCCTAAGCTGGTTCCCGGCTCCCTTTGCGCGCACTAAAGTTCATATAGGTCTTTAGGCCTAATATCTAAGTTTAAAAGTGTTGGTAATATGTGTTTTAGTCCATATTCAAATCTACATGACAGCATGGTCTGGTTTGTGTTTAATGGTGCGGCTATCTGGGGCGCTTACGATGTATCGACGGTAAATGCAGTGCATCACAGGACAATGTTTTTTATAGGACCTGGTAAGTACGCCTCTAACGTGCTGTCAATGAAGATGTGGGGGTCGGTCCCACCCATTGCAAGACAGGGGTTATGTCTTTCTACGCAGTGGTGTCATCTTTATAACACGGAAAATAGATAAATTGGTGCTTGTATGGGCAGTATGGTGTTGGTAACTGGTGTTAAGAACTGGAATTTTAGATTAACGAAGAAGTTAACTTCCCTTGATTTACATTACTTTTTAGATGCACCTGTTAACAATAACAAATCTGTTCCATGTACACTTGTTGAGGATAATGTTATGAATAATATTGTTACCTCGTAGAACTTATTGGTAAATAGATAGGAACTAGGTAGAACTGGTTTCAATAAACTTATACTCCATAAGCAGTTGAAGTGAAATTTTAATACAGAAAATTAAATTGTCCATCATATGCCTAGACAGTAAAGATCGGCTTCGTCGAAGTGTCGACATGGTGTTACTCCCATTAGAGTTGAAACTGGCCGCTATGAATATAATGTATTAGAAAACAAAAAAGTTTTAATTGTATTAATGATGGCGAAGATGAATTACATGTTATGTTTCACTGTGTGCTATACGATGATCTCAGTAAGGCGCTCTTTTAACCATTGCACCACTTTTTGTCCAGAGTTTTTAGATAAATCTCATGTCGATAAAATGTGTTATATTTTCAGTGATCCTATTATGTGTTTTAATACAGCCAAAATCTGCCTTTTAATTGAACAACGTTGACAAGAATTGTGATATGTTTAAAGTTGTTTTTAACTCTTTTGCGTCTCTCATAATTCTGTTTTGAATGGTTCTGTACAGCTGTTATAAATGTATAATATGTACAAATGGATGTGTATTGTATCTTTGTATAGAAGTAAGATGTTGATAAAATGTTTAATTTATCAGTTAACCGAGATTTTTCTGCAAGTAAATTGTTGATTCGATCTCCACCAATCTATGAAGGTTGATTCGATCTCCACCAATCTATGACGTAAGGATAAGTGAGATATGCATCATTTTTTAGCCGAAATATATTATTCTGAATGCAAACGGGTGGGTGAGGCAAGAGCTAAATAAAGTAAATATCAACAAAAAAAAAACAAAACAGTCAACAAGAAAGAACTTTACCCAACTATTTAATTTTTGATATTTCAATTTTGTTGTATAATTAAGTACATGAGATTCTCGCAGTGGAAACAATAGTTTGCACACATAAAAGGATTCCTTGGCAACACCAGCAATGCCTTCTACTGAGCAGAGTGATGTTTGTATGAAGTACATGTAAACAGAATATACAGGCCATGCCAGACAGACATCTTGGTATTTGACAACCAGTAGACACACAAAATATTGTCCTAATTGTGGTTTAGATTCAGAGCAGTATAGCTCATGCTGCCAGACAAAATATGTTGTAATCTACTTCTAAACAAAATATAAGATAAGAACATTAACAAAGGTCATTTCCACTGTCTAGACAAAACCATATGTTCTTGAGAAAATGAAGGGCTACCTCTACAGAAACACAAAAAGGCTATGTTGTCGTCATGTATTAGAAAGACAAAAAAAATATTATAAATTAATGAAACCATTTGGTAAGTAAGGTACGTCTTAAACCACAGCATGGAGCTGACAATGGGCTAATCTTGGGCTCAAACCTGCACTCACAGGATTCTGGTCTGTAAAAGGACTCAACGATACAAATGAAAGTCTACATCACACAGATCGCAGACCATCTGTAGGTGTGACAAACATGTGTCTACATCACACAGATCGCAGACCATCTGTAGGTGTAACAAACATGTGTCTACATCACACAGATCACAGACCACCTGTAGGGGTGACAAACATGTGTCTACATCACACAGACAATCTGTAGATGTGACAAACATGTGTCTACATCACACAGACCATCTGTAGATGTGACAAACATGTGTCTACATCACACAGATCACAGACCACCTGTAGTTGTGACAAACATGTGTCTACATCACACAGATCACAGACCACCTGTAGTTGTGACAAACATGTGTCTACATCACACAGACCACAGACAATCTGTAGATGTGACAAACATGTGTCTACATCACACAGACCACCTGTAGGGGTGACAAACATGTGTCTACATCACACAGACCACAGACCATCTGTAGATGTGACAAACATGTGTCTACATCACACAGATCACAGACCACCTGTAGTTGTGACAAACATGTGTCTACATCACACAGATCACAGACCATCTGTAGGTGTGACAAACATGTGTCTACCTCACACAGATCAAAGACAATCTGTAGTTGTGACAAACATGTGTCTACATCACACAGATCACAGACCATCTGTAGGTGTGGCAAACATGTGTCTACATCACACAGATCACAGACCATCTGTAGGTGTGGCAAACATGTGTCTACATCACACAGATCAAAGACAATCTGTAGGTGTGACAAACAGGTGTTTACATCACACAGACCACAGACAATCTGTAGGTGTGACAAACATGTGTCTACATCACACAGACCACAGACCATCTGCAGGTGTGACAACTATGTGTCTACATCACACAGATCAAAGACAATCTGTAGGTGTGACAAACATGTGTCTACATCACACAGATCACAGACCATCTGTAGGTGTGACAAACATGTGTCTACCTCACACAGATCAAAGACAATCTGTAGTTGTGACAAACATGTGTCTACATCACACAGATCACAGACCATCTGTAGGTGTGGCAAACATGTGTCTACATCACACAGATCACAGACCATCTGTAGGTGTGGCAAACATGTGTCTACATCACACAGATCAAAGACTATCTGTAGGTGTGACAAACAGGTGTTTACATCACACAGACCACAGACAATCTGTAGGTGTGACAAACATGTGTCTACATCACACAGACCACAGACCATCTGCAGGTGTGACAACTATGTGTCTACATCACACAGATCAAAGACAATCTGTAGGTGTGACAAACATGTGTCTACCTCACACAGATCAAAGACAATCTGTAGTTGTGACAAACATGTGTCTACATCACACAGATCACAGACAATCTGTGAGTGTGACAAACATGTGTCTACCTCACACAGACCACCTGTAGGTGTGACAAACATGTGTCTACATCACACAGACCAACTGTAGGTGTGACAAACATGTGTCTACATCACACAGATCACAGACAATCTGTAGGTGTTAATGTCTTCTCAGAAAGGAGGAGTGAGTGAGTGATAAAGTTTCACTTCGCTTTTAGCAATATTCCAGTAATATCACGGCCAGGGACACCAGAAATGGGCTTCACACATTGTTCACATGTGGCGAATTGAACCCAGGTCTTAAGTGTGATGAGCGAACACATTTACCACTAGGCTACCCCACCATCTCACGGATAAAGAGATTGGTCTGTATCATCAATGATGTAATGTGAGGACAGACTGCTTGCTTTTAAATTTGGTGCTACAACTTTTTCTGTTTGTAAATAATAATGTAATGAATAAATATGTTTTGAAAAAGAATGATTTAAACATTGTACTTAAAATGTGGATGAAAGCAGACTTTGTCTTGTCACTATATGGCTGAAATATTGCTGATTCAACATAAAACTCATTTTATACATCACATATTTATATCACACAACTTATGGGTACGGTCAAGTGCCTATTTCTTGCTGCAAATATCACCCGGTCCTAAGTAGCGTCTGTGACCAGTTTTTGGATTGCCTCTCCTCATATAGTTATTCCGCATTCAATTGGGAAACACAAGAACTTGTACACTTGTCCATGTAAGGTATTGTTGACCTATTTCTTGTGTTCATTCATTGGTTTATGTCGGCACACAAGCACCGGGACTGGGGAGTGATGTAGACAATAGTCACTGACGCTGCCCAGAAATGTCCTCCTCATCTTGCCCATGCCCCGAGTTCCGACAACAATCATTGCAGCATTCTCTCCCTTGGCAGCCTCGATGATCGCCTCCCCAACCTTGCCTGTCATCTGCTTCACCTTGCCGCCCACCTTTGAGGGAGAAACAACCACATCATAATTCACCAAACATCACACCTTGTCCGAGTCAGGTATGACATCCCGATATCTTGATGTCATGTGTGAAAGCAAATGGAATCTGAATTGTACTGAGAAAACAGTATGTTAAACGTTAGTTGGTCATTGATGACATCTTGGTTCAACTTTGTGGTAGGACAGAGACATCCACATGAACACAGGTTATATTCAACTTTTTATAGATTTATGAAAAGAAAGACTACATTGTAGGACATGCGTGTATTGGTACCAGTGATCAGAACAGAAAGACTACATTGCAGGACATACACGTATTGGTACCGTGACCAGAACAGAGAGACTACATTGCAGGACATACATGTATTGATACCAGTGACCAGAACGGAAAGACTACATTGCAGGACATACATGTATTGGTACCAGTGACCAGAACAGAAAGACTACATTGCAGGACATACATGTATTGGTACCAGTGACCAAAACAGAAAGACTACATTGCAGGACATACATGTATTGGTACCAGTGACCAGAACAGAAAGACTACATTGCAGGACATACATGCATTGGTACCAGTGACCGGAACAGAAAGACTACATTGCAGGACATACACGCATTGGTACCAGTGACCAGGGGCCGGATTCACTAAACTTCTTAGAATTTACTTAGATTTATGCTTAAGTTTCCTTAAGAATTCTTAGCTGAGAATTTATCTTAAGTAGCAATCCACCAAGCCACTAAGCATAAATCTTAGCTGAGATATTTTAAAATTCTTAGAATTTTCTTAGTGAGAAACGCATGGGATTATGGGATACAAATTTATGCTAAGCATATTCTTAGATGACGTATTGGTAATCCCCGTATCTATTAATAGCATAGTTGAACTCTCCTCGCGTGGAGATAGAAAAAAAACTTACGCAGACGACAACAATCAGAATGGAGAAGAAAAGTGTCAGAAAACCCAACTGGACGGCCGAACAGACGGTGTACTTAACTCGCCTTGTTGAGGAAAATAAGGCTGTGTTACTCGGCAAGTTTGGACCGGGTGTGACATCTGCGCGAAAGAAGGAAATTTGGACGCATATTACTAAGCAGATCAATGCCACCTTCACAGGTAAGTGACGATCGTAAATTTTGAGTGCACTTTAAAATGTTATCACCTTGTATATGTAACTGTAAAGTATTTGCCTCCTACAAAATGTATTTTTTATTGATTTTTAAGAATTTAAACGTTGAAGCAAGTGCAAGTTTAAAAGCGAGATGGTTCATATGTGCTATTTTCGATCACCCATCTCAAAACGGAAGGATTTCCGCCCGTAACCCCCGTATTTATTTCTAATCATTATATGCCTGAGAATATCCGCCTATGTTTTTTTATGAACAGGCTATACCTAACCTACAGCCCTAAAATCCAACCCCAAACATTACCCCTAAACCCTTGAAATAATCCTAATAAATAGAATACATTTCAAGCGGGGGTTACGGGCGGAACTCTTACCATCAAAACTTGGACGAGTGATATTGGATTTATGCATTCAAACATCATATTGTTTGCGCATATCAACTGATTATAATTATTTGAAGTAACAAAAACTGAAATATAATGTTACAAATCTTCTGTTGTAACAGCTTACAAGTATACTACAACCGACATGCTTAGTATGTTCATTGAAATAACATTAAAGTAATGTATTTGGGCCAGTTTTGTTGTATCTAGTCAAATGTAGACTTTTTTGTGAATGAAAATGATAACAGTGAATTAGGGTTGGTTTGACATGTTGATAATTCTGTAAATTTATCTTAGAAATATAGGTTGATATTCAGGTATTTATCAAGGCAGGTAAGATATATCTATCGCAGGTTTTCATGTGAAGGAATCACACATGAAACATTCTATTTCACCCAAGTGTGAAAGACTCACACATTTTCATTTTATTTTACCCAGTGTGAAAGACTCACACATTTTCATTTTAGTTTACCCAGTGTGAAAGACTCACACATTATCCTTTTATTTTACTGCAGTACTTTTCATGAAGAAATGACCCATTCGTTTTGTTGTGTTTGCAGAATATTTCTCATGTGTACCATTATTTTATTTAATCAAACACTGACCCCTATGATTTATTGTTCATTATTTTGACTCCCTTAAAGCTTTTGAATGGCAGTCCATTTTGTGGAGTTGGTTCAATTCCAACCAGAGGCATACACAGAGTCAACGTTTATATGTTTTCATGTTAATATTAACAATAGTATGTTGAAAATAGCACTAATATTGTGAAATGTGACTAATATTAGTGGGCCAAGTGGTCCCTTATCATACTTTCAGACTGAAGCTTTGTTAATAGCATAGTTGGGTTGTCAATTCCATTACATCATGAATTTAAAAATGTGAATTTAATGAAAATATTTGATTTCAAATTTGTGTCCTCAATTGTTTCATGAAATGTTTTTTTCATTTTCTCCCAGGATGTGTCAGGACAAATGATGAAGTGGAGAAAAAGTGGCATAATACCCAGTCGAAGTCCAAGTCTGAAATTGCAGCATATAAGAAAGGGGCTGTATCTACAGGTAAGAGCTCAAATATATATTTATGGTCCATACTTATTGATTTTGGATAGTGTGTGTGTGAAGAAAAGTGATTACTTTGAAGGAGTATAAATTAAGTAATAAATGGTCATGGTGTAACCGGGTTGTGATGGGTAAGAATGACGTTCAAACACAGGCTACGGGTGTAAGGTTTTATTTGCAGTTAGAGAGGTAACGACACCCTGCAATACACAAAACAATAACATAAGGTAATATCATAAAACCATGATGCATCTCTCACATACGAGTAACTTACAATTACACATTCACATTCGCATATAAATATCTTTGTTAATGAGGCATAAAATCATTGTCTTGATTACATACAGAATTCATCAAGGGCGATAACTCTATTTATGGGTACTACACATGAGGTATACAATGAACATGGATCATTGTTATAAAGTACATTACATGTTCTCAATACAATAATTAATTATCACTTTGTGGCACCAATGATAGAGATGGCAATCAGTGATACATATGTATCATAATATATTATATACAATATATACTATTCACAACAAACTATTCAGAACTGGTGTGTGCCACAATGGTAATAATACTAACGAGAGAATGATGTATGAGTATAGATTATATAGGCAATGTCAGATCATATTATTACTTATGTGACATTATTTAGAGCTTACCAAAAGAAGTGCAAGTGATAAATGACATTGGTCAGTGTGCAAATTAGGCTGCTTACAGGGTCTTGAATTGAACAAAATATATTCACCCAAAAAAATTCCCCTTGACAAAATAAGTTGAATAGACCCTCATGAAAAAATATGAATTTCGCTTACGTCTTATTAAGTTTCAACCTATGGGTAATTATGTAATTATCTATACATTGCAGGTGGTGGGCCGTCACCTTGTCCACTTTTAACTGAAACAGCAGAGGTCGTGTGGGACATACTTGGGAAGGACAATGTGTCCATATCAGGAATACCGGATTCAATGGACTCAACTCTACTGCAGATAAATGAGTCTACTCAGTCAAGGTTTGTCAAAACATTCAGCTTTACTGTATGTCATTAGATAATTCCTTCAATAAAATTGGTTGCATCACATTCCAAATATTGATAAAAAAAATTATTTTCAAAATAAACTATTGACGAAATCCAAAATGTAAAAATCACATATCAAGAAGATTAATAAAGCTCTCTTTCCAACATTTATCCCTTGACTGCCTTTAATGTTTGATATTTATTATTGTCATAGGGTATTATACCCAAAACCCTTCTAAAAGTGATCCCTACTTAGTCTTACCTATATGAAAAGACCCTTAGCCTTGACATAATATCAAATGAATTATATAAATAACTGCATATAAACTGTGACCTGAATACATGATAACAAGTAAAACTGATTATAGTTTATTTAAATTTCAGTGATGCCATGTCATTTTTAGACATCCAGGCACTGACAGCTGTGGGAGGGTGCCTGGAAATGGTCACCAGTGTGGCAGATGTGGTGGTTACTCCAAGCAATCCGAGTGATGCAGCAGTTCCCACTGTCAAGGCCCTACACACAGTCACTGCGGCACCAAGTAGTGGAAGATGTGCTCCCCCAGCAAGGAGATCCAATCTTGAACCATGCCTTGAATGTGATGAACTGTATTATAAGAAGATGAAATTAGAAATTGAGGTTCTTGAACTAAAAAAGAAAATGATGGAACACAAACTAAAGAAATTTATGGAAGAGTAGAAGACTAATCATGCTTCTCAAGCCAATACATAAGCCCTTATGGCTTTCATAATCTATACATATCAATAAGAGTATTGTCATGTGCGGATCATTTCAAAATATTTGATGCAATGGTTAAAAATATTCTTTGCTACGATTCCGATGTTTGGTGTGTCATGAATCGTAAAATCATTCACCAAATCCAGATGAAAAATGTACATATTTCTTAATAGCTGGCCAAAATACTTGTAACAATATGGTTCTTGCAAATATTTTCTTAAAGTCAACAAATCTACTGCATCAAACATGGTTCAAGCCTAATGCCACTACAGCGTGTGTATACAACAAAGGTTATCAAGTACTGGTTTCACTTATTGCAGCTACCCAAATATAGATTACCATGTCAGTCCTACATGATGCTTAAATGTTATATAAGATTATTTTCTACTTGTGAACATGTTTATGAATTTACTTTTTTAGCGGATTATTCTCATCTTATATTGCATTAAACCTGTTAGTATTGCATATATAATTAACAGTTAAGTAATAAAGCACAGTTTAATTACAAATCACATTGGTTTTACACAGATGAATAACTGTATTCCACATTTATTATTTTATACTGGCATTTACCTTGCATGTTTTTTCTGGGGTTAATCTAACTTCTCCATGCAACACATGAAAGCGCCGCTTGAGTTGCCCTATCCCCCTCTCCACTATGCTGCGTGTCCTCTTATGCGCTCTGTCAAAAAATCAAACGTTATGAAGATTATTTTAAAATCTGCAATAACATATTTTGCAATTTTTAACTGGCATGTAAATAAATAACATGATATAGATGTAGATAAATAATCTATTCAGCCCTAAAGCATTCTTTTATGTTTACTGTCATTTAATTAAGTATTTGACAGAAAGTTTTTTGATGTATTCTAGGATTGTAGATTGTTCCAGGCAAGAAAAAAAATCAATATTTTAATTCAACCCAGTTACACTTTTATAGTCATATTTGAAAGGGGGCATAACTCTAATTGACTAACCAAAAAGTCATGTCGTTTGCAAGATTCGATTTACCTGTTGTATGCTGTCTGAGAGCCGGGATTTGGCTGAAGATAAGGAGTGAGGAGCCAGTCTCTACATGGATATCCACTGTCTCCAAGCAGGTGGCAGCCGGCAGGCATCATGTGGCGAGAGAACAAAGCACAAACGCCGCTCTCGGTCAGTATGCGTGAGTCATGAGTGGACCCGGGCCATTTCGCAACAATATCAATGATATGTGAACTGCGGTCAAAGACAACCTGAGTATTGATGCTGTGGTACTGCTTCCTGTTCACATAAGCAGGTTCGTGCTGGGATGGTGCCATAATCTGAATGTGGGTGCCATCTATAACCCCAACCACTCCGGGAAAATTAGCGATGCGATAGAAACCAAGTTGGTTTCGTCGGATTTCAGTCGGACTGGTAGGAAACGAAACGAACAGTCGAACAATGGCAGGGACAGACAGTGCAGTTATTGTTTGGTTAATGGCCCTACTCACTGAAGACTGTGAAACACCAATGTGGTCCGCATTACACAGCTGCATTTTGCCCGTGGCAAAGTAACGCAGCGTCAATAGAACTTTGTCAGTAGCTGATAAAGGATGACTTCTTTGAGTGAGAGGTGAAATTTCATTGGAAATGAGACTTACTACAAATTGTATACCATCTTTTGATAATCTAAATCTTCGTGTCAACTCTGTTTCTGTGTATTTTTCTAGAATGTTGGTTCTATCGATGATTGCATAGGCGGCCATCTTTGTTTACTTTAAGAAAATTCTTAGTGCTTAAGTAACCTATGGATGATTCTTAAGTTAAGAAAAAATCTTAAGCACTAAGTAGTTTGATGAATATTGCTTAAGCAAAAATCTTAGTTTTATATAGGTTGCTATGGAAACTAAGAATTCTTTCCAGACTTAAGAATTCTTAAGGCTTAAGAAAATTCTAAGAAGTTTAGTGCATCCGGCCCCAGAACAGAAAGACTACATTGCAGGACATACATGTATTGGTACCAGTGACCAGAACAGAAAGAATACATTGCAGGACATACATGAATTGAAACAAGTGAACAGAACAGAGAGACTACATTGTAGGACATACATGTATTGGTACCAGTGACCAGAACAGAAAGAATACATTGCAGGACATACATGAATTGAAACAAGTGAACAGAACAGGGAGACTACATTGTAGGACATACATGTATTGATACCAGTGTCCAGAAAGGAAAGACTACATTGCAGGACATACATGTATTGATACCAGTGACCAGAACAGAAAGACTACATTGCAGGACATACATATATTGATACCAGTGACCAGAACAGAAAGACTACATTGCAGGACATACATGTATTGATACCAGTGACCAGAACAGAAAGACGACATTGCAGGACATACATGTATTGATACCAGTGACCAGAACAGAAAGACTACATTGCAGGACATACATGTATTGATACAAGTGACCAGAAGAGAAAGACTACATTGCAGGACATACATGTATTGATACCAGTGACCAGAACAGAAAGAATACATTGCAGGACATACATGTATTGATACCAGTGACCAGAACAGAAAGACTACATTGTAGGACATACATGTATTGATACCAGTGTCCAGAAAGGAAAGACTACATTGCAGGACATACATGTATTGATACCAGTGACCAGAACAGAAAGACTACATTGCAGGACATACATATATTGATACCAGTGACCAGAACAGAAAGACTACATTGCAGGACATACATGTATTGATACCAGTGACCAGAACAGAAAGACGACATTGCAGGACATACATGTATTGATACCAGTAATAAGAAAAGAAAGACTACATTGCAGGACATACATGTATTGATGCCAGTGACCAGAACAGAAAGACTACATTGCAGGACATACATGTATTGATACCAGTGACCAGAACAGATAGACTACATTGCAGGACATACATGTATTGATACCAGTGACCAGAACAGAAAGACTACATTGCAGGACATACATGGATTTTCTTCATCGTTTCACTGTATTTGTCAACCAGGTGTTTGACCTTGACCTCTTCCTCTTTGATGAGTTCTACCACGACTACCGGGTCTGTCAGCAAGGCTGCTATTGAAACAGAAGCACATGGAGAAAATTAATTGTCCACAATTTCTTCAAAAAGACATGTTGGCCAAGGTTTCACACACACAAACATCATAATCCATTGCGTAAAATATGTTTTCAACAGGTTTTAGTCATAGCTGGAAGTACACGCAATAATAACTTGTCCCATGGTATAACACAAAAGTATAAGTAGGACCAATGTTTGGAAGTACTCACAATAATAACTTGTCCCATGGTATAACACAAAAGTATAAGTAGGACCAATGTTTGGAAGTACTCACAATAATAACTTGTCCCATGGTAAAACACACAAGTATAAGTAGAACCAATGTTTGGAAGTACTCACAATAATAACTTGTCCCATGGTATAACACAAAAGTATAAGTAGGACCAATATTTGGAAGTACTCACAATAATAACTTGTCCCATTTTATAACACAAAAGTATAAGTAGGACCAATGTTTGGATGTACTCGCAATAATAACTTGGCCCATTTTATAACACAAAAGTATAAGTAGGACCAATATTTGGAAGTACTCACAATAATAACTTGTCCCATTTTATAACACAAAAGTATAAGTAGGACCAATGTTTTACACAAAGTCAGAAGATAATCCAAGATTGTATACATATTTTACAAAAAATATATTTTTTAAGTGCACAGTTATTGTCTTCTTGTTATCATTGTTTTGACAATCACTGACAGATATACACACATACAGAGATGCAATATAGACGGATATACACACAGAGATGCAGGATAGACACATACACACAGAGAGATGCAATATAGACAGATATACACACATACACAGATGCAATATAGACAGATATACACACATACATAGATGCAGGATAGACACACGCACACACATACAGAGATGCAATATAGACAGATATAAACACATACACAGATGCAGGATAGACACACACACACATACAGAGATGCAATATAGACAGATACACACACATACACAGATGCAGGATAGACACATACACAGATGCAATATAGACAGATATACACACATACAGAGATGCAATATAGACAGATATACACACATACAGAGATTCAGGATAGACACATACACACAGAGAGACGCAATATAGACAGATATACACACACATACAGAGATGCAATATAGACGGATATACACACAGAGATGCAAGATAGACACATACACACAGAGACATGCAATATAGACAGATATACACGGAGAGAGGCAAAATAGACAGATATACACACTTACAGAGATGCAATATAGACAGATATACACACTTATAGAGGTGGACAGATGGAATATATACAGATATACAGACTCAATATACAAATACAAAAGGTGCAGTACACACAGATGCATATAGATGCAATATACACAAATATAATCAAGATTCACAGAAAACACACACAGAGAGAAAGGTTCACAGAACTCAGACTAGTGAAGCAGACAGAGAGGCAGTTACACCAGCTTTATCAGAGCATTACAGCAACATTACAACAATGTTGCAGCAGCAGCTACAGCAACATTACAACAATGTTGCAGCAGCAGTTACAGCAACATTACAACAATGTTACAGTAGCAGTCACAGCAACATTACAACAATGTTACAGCAGCAGTTACAGCAATGTTACAGCAGCAGTTACAGCAATGTTACAACAATGTTATATCAGTAGTTACAGCAACATTACAACAATGTTACAGCAGCAGTTACAGCAATGTTACAGCAACATTACAACAATGTTACAGTAGCAGTTACAGCAACATTGCAACAATGTTACAGCAGCAGTTAAAGCAACATTACATCAATGTTACAGCAACGTTACAACAATGTTACAGTAACAGTTATAGCAACGTTACAACAATGTTACAGTAACAGTTATAGCAACGTTACAACAATGTTACAGCAGCAGTTACAGCAACATTACAACAATGTTACAGCAGGAGAACAGCAACATTACAACAATGTTACTGCAGCAGTTACAGCAACATTACAACAATGTTACAGCAGCAGTTACAGCAACATTACAACAATGTGACAGCAGCAGTTACAGCAAGATTACAACAATGTGACAGCAGCAGTAACAGCAACATTACAACAATGTTACAGCAACAGTTACAGCAAGATGACAACAATTTTACAGCAACCGTTACAGTAACATGACAACAATGTTACAGCAACATTACAGCAAGATTACAACAATGTTACAGCAACAGTTACAGCAAGATGACAACAATGTTACAGCAACATTACAACAATGTTACAGCAGGAGTTACAGCAACATGACAACAATGTCACAGCAACAGTTACAGCAACATTGCAACAATGTTACAGCAGCAGTTACAGCAACATTACAACAATGTTACAGAAGGAGTTACAGCAACATTACGACATTGTTACAACAGTAGTTACTGCAACATCACAACAATGTTATATCAGCAGTCACAGCAACATTAGAACAATGTTACAGCAGGAGTTACGGCAACATTACGACATTGTTACTGCAGGAGTTACAGCAACATTACAACAATGTTACATCAGCAGTCACAGCAACATTAGAACAATGTTACAACAGCAGTTACAGCAGCATCACAACAATGTGACAGCAGTAGTTACAGCAACATCACAACACTGTTACAGCAGCAGTCACAGCAACATTACAACAATGTTACAGCAGCAGTTACAGCAACATTACAACAATGTTACAACAGCAGTTACAGCAACATTACAACAATGTGACAGCAGCAGTTACAGCAACATCACAACACTGTTACAGCAGCAGTCACAGCAAAATTACAACAATGTTACAGCAGCAGTTACAGCAACATTACAACAATGTTACAGTAGCAGTCACAGCAACATTACAACAATGTTACAGCAGCAGCTACAGCAACATTACAACAATGTTACAGTAGCAGTCACAGCAACATTACAACAATGTTACAGCAGCAGCTACACCCCAGCGGTGATGCTGGGTTAGTACTCACGGGCCTGAGTCAGGTGAGTGTACTCTGATACATGCACCAGTATGATGTGGTCCGAGCCTCGGTGGGCGTGGTCCATATTGACTGCAACAGAGTGGACATCGTTAGACGCTGGCCAGTGACAGCTACTTACGTGCGTGGATGAGAGATGCGTACTCCGAGCAGTGGACTAGTGTGATGTTGTCGCCGGGACGATGCACATGCTGCACATAGACTGAAATGTACAAGATACAGGGTGCTTAGAGTCTCACATCCTGTCACTCAGAACAATAGCTCAGAATCAGTCGAGGCTCTTACCTTATGAATTTAGTTAGTTAGTTTCTAGGTAGCCTAGCTAGGCTAGAAACTCCCCCTTTTGATAAAAGAGCAAGGGTGGGGAAGAAGTAGCCTAGCTAGGCCAGAAACTCCACCTTTTGATATAAGAGCAAGGAGTGAGTGAGTGAGTTGAGTTTTACGCCGCACTCAGCAATATTCCAGCTATATGGCGGCGGTTGGTAAATAATCGAGTCTGGACCAGATAATCCAGTGATTAATAGTATGAACATCGATCTGCGCAATTGGGAACCGATGACATGTGTCAACCAAGTCAGCGAGCCTGACCAACCGATCCCGTTAGTTGCCTCTTACGACAAACATGGGTTACTGAAGATCAATATTCTAACCCGTTCTGCAAGTTGGACCAGTTCAGACATTTGGACCACAGAAACCTGTTCCGGAAAAGGTTGTCCAACAAACTCTGCACTAACCATCAGTGATTGTAGTCTTTACACAGCATAACCAAATTAAGCCAATAAATTTTGAACAATATATATATCCCACTTGGTAGGACACTCACAGGAGTGAGTGAGCGAGAATAGTTTTTACGCTTCGCTCAGCAATATTCCGACTATATGGTGGCGGTCTTTAAATAATCGAGTCTGGACCAGACAATCCAGTAATCAACAGCATGAGCATCGATCTGCGCAATTGGGAACCGATGACACTTGTCAACCAAGTCAGCGAAACTGACCACCCGATCCCGTTAGTCGCCTCTTACGACAAGATAGTCGCCTTTTTATGGCAAGCACATGGGTTGCTGAAGACCTATTCTACCCCGGATCTTCACGGGTCACACAGTTCAAAAAGGGCTGCCAAGTAAACAACACAACTGCGGCTGGACTGCGGGCATCCCTCTTCACTGTAACCACTCAATTAATGTCTACAATGTATTTGTGTGTGGAATCCAGGTACTTGGACGGGGAGAGACTTTGTTTCTGACTTTACTATACTGAAACAAGATACCAATACATTATCACATTTAATACACACATATACTACTGCCATATTAAACAACGCATCAGTGACACAATGTATAAAGTGTGCAACATTGTCTGACATTATCAAGAGCTAAACGGTAATCCGGCCTTCTCAGTTGATGCGAAATGGGTTTTATTCAACACACCAGTATAACAAGTTTGCAACGTTTTGGCAACCTGTATCAATGTTGCAATGTCACAACCCCACGAACATTCGCTTTGCAGCAGATAGCAAGATCAGCGCTGTGTGCAGATGCGTATCACGTTATTAAGAACCACCAGCTATTGCTGAGTCTGTAGCAAGCCGGTGTCAGTTTCACGTATGTTATATTCATGACACAGGTAGAGAGCAAGTCTACATTTTGTATTTATAGTTTAAAAAGTGCGCTGAGAAACGGTATAGTATCTTAACACTTAATATACAATGTTCCAAAAATATTACATACTTTCAACGAATAGTAATGTTCTTTTTAACTCTCTGCTCTATCAGTAGTGGCTGTGCTAGTGGTTTAACCATAGTTGTGTATTTACTAAACATTGAGACATTATTCATCAATATAGTATTCAGTATCGAGCCCGGCATGAAATCTTCATCATAACATGATCGTGGTATGCGCACATAGTCCATGATAAGCCTTCAAGTTGGTGAAAATTAGTAACCTGGAAATGTAATGTCCCGGTCAGATAAATCATCCTGTGTACATACATGCAAGAGTGTGTTTATCGACAAAGCGAATTTGTGGCCTACTGTTGGCTATTGGATGTATTTAAGAACGATTCACATACCAATAGCTATTAATAGAAATGGTGCTTTCCAGACAGTTCGCACCCACACTGAAATCCACTGTTGAGGGGATTTGGGTTCCCATGGAAACGGACGTGGGTCGACCCCTGCACCAGGGACATCGTCAGAAGGAGCAAGCAACCTTTTTCAGCATGGACTCTTTTTTACAGAACTACAGATCTACTTAAAGTACACGAACCCCAACTTAACCCCTATCTTTTCACCAATCACATCGCTCCCTTTTCGCCATCCCAGGTTTTGCTTAGCTGCCTTGCTTTTCTTTCGCTTCGATTACATACCCATGTGCCCCGTTTTGCTTCCACCCTTTATGACATAATTCAAATTGTTTACAACCATTTTAAATTCGCCACGCTGTTAAGTAAGACTCGTGGTAAGAAAACACCGAGGCGAAGTTGCCAGGACATATACTTTTATTCCTCTCACATGAGTGAATCTAAACACAACCACGCCGGCCGGCACATGGTTCTTCTCTGCCCTCGCTGACACCCTTGCGCATGCGCATGCCTCTCACGCAAAGCTACTTCCTTTCCTCTCCAGTGATCCAGCCACCCATACGTACACATACGTTAACACACGCCACGCCACGCCACGCCACGTGAACAAATCTTAATGTTCTGGCTCTTCAAGATTTATGTTTGTAAGATTGATGTCCCTTTGTTCATACGACGCCCGTTAATTTGTTAACCATCAGTCATGACGAAGAGGCTGTAAGCATCATCATGACATCCTCGTGCGGATTTTCAAACTACTGATATCCTATTGGTTGTCTGTTTGAAACGTTTGTGCATTTACTATGATATTCTGAACTGCATCGCCCTCGCAAGCATATTCATTATAATCACAGGTTGGCTCTAGTCAAAATATGAAACACAGAAATAACATCCACAATGTACGATTCAGCATGTAAAAACACATTAAAGTAATATTGTTTTAAGTTTCATTTGTCAGCATACATGTTTCCTGAATGAAAGTCCAAAATCAATTGGTCAAAAATGAATACATTTACAACTATATTTTCAAAGATCTCTCCTGATCAGCACTTGAGCACTGAAGAGAATTATTTGAAAATTAACTTTGGGACAGGAGACCACTTACGTGTATAGGTATAAGTGCGTCCCTGACGATACGACACGTTGCAATATAATACAATACAATACAATACAATACAATACAATACAATACAAAGATCAATGTCATTCACACTCAACCTGAATCAAATGTATTCTTTCATCCTGAAAAACTAGCTATAGTGAATTTGATCTGTTGTTGTGATAAAGAATTGCGGCTCTCAACATTCATAGGTTTACACACACAATGCAGCGTTGAAGCTGCCACACAGGCGATGGTGAACACCCACATTAACGAGCAGCACTGGTCTGTGTTCCTGTCCCTGTACCCCTCCACACTTACTGTTATGTCACTAAATACACAACCCCCCACAATGAGGTTCAGGTGACTCTGTGGGTAGCGAGTCAAGATGAGATTCACCTGGTCAGGAGTTCAAGTCTCACTCAGTACACGTTTTGTTGAAACTACTTTTCTTCCCAGAAATACACGTACAATGGTTTCATTTTTTTTTTCAAGAAAGATAAAATTATAAGGAAAACTAAAACATGAAAAGCACTTGTTTGTTTGCCCTCACAATTTGGAACATGACAGAGGCCACCGTCTCAAACTTTGGCGCCGTAGTTTGGAGAACGGTACTATTTCAGATATTTCTCTAGCGCTTCAGTAAGTTTTGCGATCTACCAGCCACGCAAAGTGACTGAAGCGCCAGAAAATATCTGGAACAGAGCCGTTCTCCAAACTGCGGAGCGCCCTCCAAAGATGCTGATAATCAGATGATGTAAGCATGTCGATACTCCATAGAGTGTCAAGGTCAAGCAAATCAGTGGTCGATAGCACGAGCAAAGAATCCATGCACAGAAGCCACCCAGCCACGCCACGCCACGCCACGGCATCTATTGTGCAGTTGTGGTTCATCTATTGTGCAGCTGTGGTTCATGAAACCCGACATATAAGTACCTACACCTCAGCGTCATACAGTAAATATTTTTTCACATCTTTTACTTACCATCGCATGCACATTTAAGTGGCATGTCCACTTTCACAACAGCTTGTCTGTTAATCAGTCAGACAGCACAGCACAGCACAGCACAGCACAGCACAGCACACGTGGATAAAAACCACCATCCATCCATCCATCCATCTATCCATGCAGCCAACCAATTTTGCCAGCTGTCGATCAATGTGATAATGTTAATGTTTTTTTAATACAATATTCGCGAATGTTTGTATCTGTTGGCCATCATTGTGCAACATTGTCCGGAGCCAAGCAGCTATACTGCCATCCTGCCCGTGAGATATGAGCTTCATTCCACCCCTCCATTAATACAATGTAGAAAAACTTTGAACAGCGTTTTCTAATGTGGCTGCATCTCCTAAAGTAGCTAACACTCGCTCCTGGTTGCTGCACACCAGTTAATTCAGCATTTGCCTCTGGTAAATGATTCAAGCGAACGGCTACTTTTCAGTGATTTGTCTGCCGCTTCCATCACTTAAAGAGTCCGTAAAAACACCTGTGGTTGATGGTTGTGTTTGGTTGTTGTTGTTTAACGCCACACTCAGCAATATTCTTGCTGTATTGCGGCGGTCTGTCAAAATAGGAACCAGCACCAGACATTGCAGCGATCAACATCATGAGCATCAATGTATGTCAATGGGACACGATGACAAGTCAACCAAGAGAGAGAGAGCCTTACCGACCAACAACAAGTACAGCCACAGCTTATAATGTCCAATCATCTTCATATACAGTAATAAAGCATTCGTACTTGTGTAGCTGTTTCTTAGAGTGACACAGTGTACAGAGCATGTCCGACGTTGTCCAACATTATCCGGAGTCTAGCGGCCATTGTGACTTACCACCCGTGAGATACGAGCTTTATTCAACCCCTCCGTTCATACAATGTTTGAAAGAATTT